TATTTCCTCTTTCGAATGGTTCCTCCTATTAGTTTTAATTTTTACTTACAATTTCACTAATATGAAAATATGTTTAATAGGAATATAAATGTTAGCCTATATGAGATTGTGTGCCATTTTGGGGAGGGTGGTGGGGAGGAAGGGGAAGAAAAATTTTAAACTCAAAAGCGTATGGAAGTGATTGTTGATAAATCAAAATAAAAAAAACTGAAAAAAAATTATTGGCTTCCAGGCCCTGATTAATTTTGATGAAAATGCGTATTCTTAGAAAAGAAATGATGAAACACACTTCCTCTTCTCAAGAGAAAGGTCAGGGACCATGTGTGTGAAGTGTTGCATACCCTATCAGTCACTTGCGATCACTTTGTGTAACTGCTTATCTTTTTTAGAAGATAGAATTCAATGATTTTAGGGACTATATAAAATCAGTAATTTTAAACAATATTGGTTAGAAAAATAACTTCAATGTTTTGTCTCCCACAGTGGAAAAAATTCGCTTTTCAGAAAAGAGCAGAAAAAAAGCGCACAGTTCTTTAACCCATAGTTGACATTTAGAACAAATGAGATGCAAAGTGTTTCACATGTACTGTTGTTTTAAGAAGCAAATTAAATTAAATAATTTTTATAGAGGAAGGGACTTTAAAGATCACCTAGACAAGCCCATTCTGTCCTATTTTATAGATGGGGAGACAGAGGCTCAGAGACAGTGACTGATATCATTTTTTTAAAAAATGTTTTTTGTTGATATTTTATGTTTTCAAACATACATCACCATAGTATCCCATGTATCTCTCCCCTTCCCTTTCCCAGAGTGCTATTCCATATGACAAATAGTATTTTTGGAGAGGAAAAAAACAAGTCAATATAACTGATCTATACATAGAAAAAGTCTGAAAACATGTGCAATGTGTAACATGTGTGAACCTCCCATCTCCATGAAGGAGTAGGTTGGGGGTGTCTTTTCATATCTCTTCATTCATGTCCTATTTGATGTTTACAATTTTGTTACATTATCTTTGATTTTTTTGGTATGTTGTTCTTTCCTTTTATATTGTCATAGTTTTGGTGTATGTTGTTTTCTTGGCTCTGCTTACTTCACCCTGCATTAGTTCATTTAGATCTTTCCATGCTTCTATGTATTTATCACACATATCATTTCTTATGGCACAGTAACATTCCATTACATTTGTGTACCACAATTTGTTTAGCTATTCTCCAATTGATGGGCATCTACTTTTCCCAATTCTTAGCTATCACCAAAAAGTGTTCTATAAATATTTTGGATTATATGGAGACTTATTTTCTTATGGTGTCCTTAAGGTATAAGCCCAATACTGGAGTCTCTGATTCAAAGGATATGGACATTTTAGTAATTTTATTTGCATAATTCCAAATTGCTTTCCAAAATGGCCATACCATTCCACAACTCTACTATCAATATATTAGTGTACCTATCTTCCATATCCCCTCTGACATTGACTATTGCCATTTTTGTCATATTTGCCAATTTGCAAGGTGCAAAATGAAACCTCAGAGTTGTTTTGATTTGTATTTCTCTTATTATTAGTGATACGGGGCATTTTTTCAAGTGTTTGTGAATACTCTGCAGGGTTTTTTTTCAGAACTGTTCATATTCTTTGACCATTTTTCCATTGGGCAATGACTATGTCTATCTATATGTAGATATCCATATCTACATATAGATATAGATATATAGATACCTATATATGTATGTATGTATTGTGTGTGTATTATTTATATATCTTGGGTGCCAAATCCTTTTCAGAGAAATTTGATACAAAGATTTCTTTTTCCCCATTTGACTCTTCTGATCCTAGATGTATTAATGCAGAAGCTTTTCAGTTTCAAGTTCCTACTTCTGCTACAAACACAGTGTGTGTTTTACTTTAATCTTTTTTTAAGGTGACTCTATTCCTACTGACTCTCTTCCCCTCATCCCTGAGCCCTCTTCTCATTTGATATCCCTTTCCCTTTAGGGTTTTGTTTATTAGTTCCTTTTATCTACTGCTTTTGTCTGATTATATATTTCTTTCCCCCTCTTTTTTTCCCTTTCAGTAGATTCAGTAGATTTAGTCAAGTGTAGATTCTCTTTTCTTCTTGTCCCCTTCAGCTAGTCCTGTTCCTTACTTTTGAAATTTCATTTTTGTGGCCATTTCCAAAAAGGATTTCTCTCACTCTCTTCGTTATCCATACTTTCTGTTTACTCCAGACCTTATTCTCTAATTCATGATCCCTAAAATTATCTGGTCTTTCTCTTTTCTCTGTATTCTGTGTGCAATCAAAGCTTACAACGTATTCGTTCTAGGCTCTTCAGTCTAGGTGCTTTCTGCCACTGCCACTGTCTTGCCCCATGGATTCCCCTCTTTCATTGTACCTTGCTTCTGGAACGATGTCAATTATTGTAAATGTCAGAGAGGACCCTGCCCCGTGGCTGGGCCCCTTCCTCACTATGTCCCTGATTATTCAGCCCAGGACTGATCTATACTCTCTCTTGTAGACCTTTTTTTCCCTACATTTGCCTGGAGATCTCCTTCCTGGGTCCATGTTCTCCCAATTCTCCAGATGCCAGTTGCCTCCAAGGGTTCGGGTTCCAATTCTCTTCCTCCTAGGACAAGTAGATATTTCGAGCACCAAATCCCCAGGCTTCATCCAGTGTAAGGTCCTTATCAGTCTTCACCAACTGTTTCTTTTCACCCCTGGAAGCATTCATCAGTGGAATTCCCTCCCACATCCAAAGTAAGGCCTCTTCCCTTTCCCTCCCTTTTCAATCTTTCTCCTTTCCTCCTTACTCCCTTGTAGGCTTTTCTCTTTCTGAGGCCTCAGAGGTCACCTTCCACTCATTGCTAGCCCTTATTTTGATCCCAGTGCATCACTTGTACTTCTCTTCTCCCCCCATTCTACGTACCCTCTCATATTGTAATGTGGTCCCACCAAAGAAGCATTCATGTATAAACAGGATGTTACCAGGTTCTGTCCATAATACTGCTTGCTCATTTATTCAGTGTTACCTCTACTATATTTCTGCCTTGTGTCATTTAGAAAGAAGTCTTTATTGGCCTCTTGCCATTCTGTTGCTGCTGCTGTCCTTGCCTGCTCTATTTATTCGTTCCTTCCTACATTTCTGTTGTGTGGGGTGTTTGAGAAGCAAATGATCTTTTCCGCTCTGGTTTTCTTTCTAAAAATGTTTGAAAAGCTCCTTTATTATTAATGTCCATCTTTTGCCCTGTACAGTTAAGTTCAGATTTGCAGAATAGATCACCCTGGGCTGTATCCTGAGCTCCACTGCTCTTGGAAACACATTATTCCATTCCCTCCTCTTTTTCTAGTGGGTACAGAATAGTCTTGTGTTATTTAAATGTCCTTTCCTTTGCATTTGAAGGTTTTTCTCCTGATGGCTTGCAGAACATGTTGTTTCTAAACTTAATTATTAAATTTGACCACTAAAGGTCTTGGAGTTTGCAGCCTTGGATTTTTTTTCTGGAGGTGGTCTGTTAATTCTTTCCATTGGAATTTCATTTTCTGTGTTTAGAAGTTCTAGGCAATTTTCTTCTATCATTTCTTTCATTATGGTGTTCAGGTTTTATCCTGTCACATTCTTCTGGGAGACTTTTGATCCTTAGGTTGTCTCTGCAAGTCCTGTTTCTGAGTTCTGTCTATTTTACTTGTATAGCAAGCATATTTTCTTTTCTTGCTTCTTTTCCAGGTTGTCCTTCACTTCTGTATATTTGCGTTCCCAAACTATTTTTCTCTCTTTTGTTTCTTTGATGAGGCTTGTCATTGCAAATTCACATTTTTCTATTCCATTCATTATTTTTGCTGAGGAGGACATAAATTCTGCACTCATAAGTCTTATTTCTCTTTTAAACCACTTGGGAACAGCATGTGGTGCTTCCATGTTCTCCTCCAATTCCTCAGGATCCTCTGTCTCATCAAGTGTTGGATCATTTTCATTTATTTTGCAGTATTTATTCATAGATACCTGAACTCATTTACTAGATCTGGAGGCCATATTTATTTCTGCTGTTACTATTGTTACCAGTTGATTTGTTTGTGTTCAAGATCTTTGAGTTTTCTTCTTCCTGAAATCCTTGCTACTTTCAATCTTTCTCCCCCTATTTTCCTTATCACTCACTTCCCAATTCCCTCTCCTCTGATTAGTCTCCTACCATACTAGGCAATTCATGGTTCATCAGCCTAGGTCTCTGCCCCACCTGACTTTTGAGTTGTTAGAACTGGCCCCCACTGGATACTTTGCTCTTTCCCTCAAGCTTGATGAAGTTCTACACATCTTCTCACCTCACCCATGGTGTCCTTCCCTGGTGACCTGTTCTCCCTCTGTTCCTCAATTATATGGCCTAGCACCAGCAGTTCAGAGCCTATTTTCCCCAGTATTCTCAATTCAGAGCTTTGCAGCACCGGTACTTCTGGGTTACAGTCCTGACAGGCTTTTGCTCCTGAAGGGCTATGGCCAAGCTGGCTCTCATGGTTTGAGCAAACTACCACAGCCTGGAGTTGGGATCTCCATAGTACTGGAAGGAATGAGGGGGAGCCAGGGTATAGGGGTGGGTGTTGATGTGAGCCTATGTCATGTCCTTGGGTCTGCTGATGCAGCCTCACTGCTTGTAGCATGGGAAGTAGGGGAGGGAGATTGAGTAAGCTCAGGGTCATCAGAACTGAGCTTTGGTTCCTAGGGTTTTTATTAACCCTTTTTTTGGATTCTGGGTTTCCTGGACCATGGAAACAGCTGAAGCTGCTTATCTTTGGTATACAATTTTTGTTTTATAGAGGATTTGTAAGGTCATGGGGACTGGAGAAAATGTCTTGTCTGTCATCTTGTTGCTCATATAACCCAGAAAGTTGTTCAGGCACTTTCAGAAGGACAAATATGCTGCAACAAAACACAACACCTAAAGCAACTCTAGCATTTCTTAGTTATTTGAGAACTGACTGATGCTCTGAAATGTGAATTCTATGCACAGGTGGTGGTACGAGAACTCCTTGCTCAGTATACCAAACAGTATGAAGAAAGACCACTTTTTGGCCTTCTTCGGAACTGGACAGAATCTGTGAGTGACAACTTGAGAACCAGGTAAGTAGAGTTTAGGCTCCCCCAATCACCAGCCTTCTTCCCACTCCCCCTCCTCAAATAAAATAGAGCTCAGTTACTGCACATATTACTATTATCCACTTTTGAAGCTACCAGTCCAGTCCAATTAACCCAGCAACATTTATTAAGTGCCTATTGTGAGTATATAAGGCAATGTGCTAAGTGCTAAGGATACTTGATGTTGCTGGCTCAATGAGTTCATCAGTGTTAGTACTCTCTCTACCACTACAGAAAACAATCCATCCATGGCCTCCCATCCTGTGCAAGTCTAATCCACGTCTTTCAATCCAATTCAATCTCACAAATATTTATTAAGTGCCTACTTCTAGGAGCTGGGCTAGGTAGTAAGTATACAAAGATACAGCTAAATATAATCCCTGTACTCTGGGAGCTCAAATTCTGCAAGGACGACATATCTATCGCATAGACAAATGAGTATATGTACAAATTAAACACATAGGTATTAGAGGAGTGTAGAGTACATGAGAAGGCACAAAGGGAAATGAGTATGGAAAGATGGGTTGGTGCCAGTTTGCAAAGGTCTTTACATGCCAAACAAAGGAGTATGTATTTTATTATCAAGGCACTAGGGAATGGCCTAATAAGTAGAAAAGTATCATAGTCAAACTAGTGCTTATCACTTTGGTAGCTGTGTGGAGAACAGATTAGAGAGGAGAAACTGGATTCAAGGAGAGTAATTCAGAGACTCTTGGGATAATCCAAGTCACAGAGCCTGAACCAGGGTGATAGCCATATGACTGAGGAATCCTACAAGAATTTACCTGAAGCTCTGGATTAGGCCTTTTAAGGTTTTGTGGGTGCCAGTGGGATGCTTATGCTATCCATTCTTTATTTTTCATTCTTATTACAGTATATGACTGGCCTACTTCCTTCTCTACACATGCCTGTTCTTGATGAAGTCTTTTGCACCTTTTCATATATGTTATTTGTCATGTGCTGTAGATTACTTATACCTGCCATAGGTATATAGGCAGGAGGAAAGAATGGAAGGAAGGAAGGGAGGGAGGATGTTAAGCATTCACTACATTATTCCAGGTAATGTGTGCTTTTCTGTTTATCTGTTGGTCAAACTGTGATTTTGATTGTCCTGAGATTATACTGCTTTATGAATCACATATACATAGCATCATGAAAAAAATTCTGAAGTTAAAGGAAGGAGTTTGGGATTGTTGAAAGCACTGCAAAAATTCCTTATTGAGATGTAATCCTGCCCATTTTCATCCTTTACTTCAGCACTAGGCCCTTATCACTGTCCATCTACAATTCCGTCTCCAAAATTTGCTGCCTATATGCCATGATCTGGGTAATAGAATTCATTATCCATTTTATTTTTCCTATATAGATTATTAGGTCATCCAAAGAACCTTACCATAGGTAAGGTCCTTCCATTTGGACTTTGCACGGGACATCCTCCATGACTATGCTAATACTTTAATCAACCATGAATCTCCCTATTCTGAGTGTCTTGATTTTGGTAAATAGAGAGTCACTGAACAAAGTTATTTATGTGGTTGTATCTATCAATGAATCTTATATGATCTCAACTTAGGCATGGGAGACACAGTGTTGAAACAGTAACTTTAAGGCTCTTTGTCACAAGTGACAGTTTAAAAAAATCAATAGATAATAAACACAGCAGGATCTTGGATATACTACTCTTCTGTCAGTTTTGTGTCAATGAAACTGTTTGCTGTTGTCTGTTTTCTGTTGTCTGTGAAAGTCTGCCCTTGATATGCATAGACCATATCATAAAGAATTTGTAAATTTATAAGGATGATTAAATAAGCATATGAGGGCAGAGCCAAGATGGCAGAGTAAAAGCAGTGACTTGCTTGAGCTTTCCCCTGAACCCCTCCAAATACCTGTAAAAAATGGCTCCAAACAAATTCTAGAGCAGCAGAACCCACGGAAGGACAGAGTGAAACAAATTTCCAGTCCCAGACAACCTGGATGGTTGATTGGAAAGGTATATAGCACTGGGCTGGAAGAGAAATGCAGTTCAGCATTGGCATGCCCGCAAAGACCGGCCTCAGTGAACCTGGAGCAATCCTCAGGGGATTGAATCAAGGGGAGCTGTAGTGGTTTCCAGACTTCTCAACCAACAAACACCAAAGACAACTTAGAGGGTTGGTAGCTTGGCTTTCAGAGCTCTCAGCCCACAAATGGAGGGGGAATTGAATGACTGATCAGAGGGAGATTACAGGGATCTCTTTGCTAGTGCTGAGGCAGGATTTTCTTGCTTTGTCTGTGTTTGGATCTGGGTCACAGTTCTGGGTGGCAGTCCTGGGGCAAGGAGGAGTGCTGGCATGGTAGAGTTTGTAGTGGTGATAAAGAGGGAATCCTCACAGTTCCAAGGCAGAAAAGAGTGCTAGTGGTCACTCATAGACCAGAGCACAGGCCAGGAAAAGAGGAAACACCTCACCCTTCATCATACCACCTTGGAAGAACTGAAAATGTACAGGTCCCTACAAGTATCTCTGAAAACAGCTGCACAAAACCCCTGAATCTTGGGACAGTACATTCTCCACACTGAAAGCAGACCCCTACCTAAACAAAGAGTTTAAAACTCAAATAATTGGCTGGGATCATGAGCAAACAGTGAAAAAAAAAGTCAGAACATAGAATTTTCATTTGGTGACAAAGAAGATCAAAACATACAACCAGAAGAAGACAACAAAGTCAAAGCTCCTACATCCAAAGCCTCCAAGAAAAATATGAATCAGTTCCAGGCCATGGAAGAGCTCAAAAAGGATTTTGAGAAGCAAGTAAAAGAAGTAGAGAAAAAACTGGGAAGAGAAAGGAGAGTGATGTAAGAAAATCATGAAAAACAAATCAACAGCTTGCTAAAGGACACCCAAAAAAATACTGAAGAAAATAATACCTTAAAAAATAGCCTAACCCAAATGGCAAAAGAGGTCTAAAAAGCCAATGAGGAGAAGAATGTCTTAAAGAGCAGAATTGGCCAAATGGAAAAGGAAATCCAAAAGCTCACTGAAGAAAATACTTCCTTAAAAATTAGGATGCAGTAAATGGAAGCTAGTGACTTTATGAGAAATCAAGACACTGTAAAACAAAACCAAAAGAATGAAAAAATAAAAAAACAATGTGAAATATCTCATTGGAAAAACAACTGACCTGGAAAATAGATGCAGGAGAGATAATTTAAAAATTATTGGGCTATCTGAAAGCCATGATCAAAAAAAGAGCTTAGACATCATCTTTCAAATTATCAAGGAAAACTGCCCTAATGTTTTAGAACCAGAGGGTAAAATAGAAATGGAAAGAATCCACTGATCACCTCCTGAAAGGAAGGAAAACTCCTAGGAATATTGTAGCCAAATTTCAGAGTTCCCAGGTCAAAGAGAAAATTTTGCAAGCAGCCAGAAAGAAACAATTCAAGTATTGTGGAAACACAATCAGGATACCACAAGATTTAGCAGCTTCTACATTAAGGGACCAGAAGGCTTGGAATATTATATTCTTGAGGTCAAAGGAGATAGGATTACAACCAAGAATCACCTACCCAGCACAACTGAGTGTAATCCTTCAGGGGAAAACAGGATTTGCAGTGAAATAGAGGACTTTCAAGCATTCTTAATGAAAAGACCAAAGCTAAATAGAAAATTTGACTTTCAAATACAAGATTCAAGAGAAGCATGGAAAGGTTAACAGGAAAGAGAAACCATAAGGGACTTATTAAAGTTGAACTATTTACATTCCCACATGGAAAAATGATATTTGTAACTCATAAGACCTTTGTCAGTATTAGTTGGAGGGGAAAAATTATATGTAGATAGATAGAGGGCACAGGGTGAGTTGAAGATGAAAGGGTGATATCTAAAAAATAAAATTAAAGGGTGAGAGAGGATTATACTGGAGAAGGAGAAAGGTAGAGGTAGAATGGGGTAAATTATCTCACATAAAGCTTTTACAGTGGAGGGGAAGTGGGAGAAGGTGAGAGGGAACAAGTGAATCTTATTCTCATTGGATTTGGCTTAAGGAGGAAATAACATACACACTCAATTGGATGTGGAAATAATGGGGAAGGAGAAAAAAGATAGGAGGGATGATAGAAGGGAGGGAAGATTGGGGTAGGGGGTAATCAAAAGTAAACACTTCTGCAGAAGGACAAGGATAAAAGAGAGGATAGAAGAAAAATGGGGGTAATCGGAAGCAAACACTTCTGAGAAGGGACAGGGTTAAAAGAGAGAACAGAATAAACATGGGACGGGATAGGATGAAGAGAAATATGGTTAGTTTTTCACAACAGGACTGCTATGGAAGTGTTTTGCATGACTATGTATGTGCAGCCTGTATCGAGTTGCTTGCCTTTTCAGTGAGGGTGGGTGGGGTGGGAGGAAGGGAGAAAATTTGGAACCCAAAATTTTAAGAACATGTTAAAAATTGTTTTCACATGCAACTGGGAAACAAGATACACAGGCAATGGGGTATAGAAATCTATCCTGCCCTACAGGAAAATAGAAGGGGAAGGGAATAAGAGAAGGGTTGGGGGAGTGTGATAGAAGGGAAGTCAGATTAGGGGAAGGGGTATTCAGAATGCATGCCATCTTGGGGTGAGGGGAGGGGTGAGATGGGGAGAAAATTTGGAGCTCAAAATCTTGTGGAAGTGAATGTTGAAAACAAAAAATAAATAAATTAACAAAAGCAAATAACTAAATAAGCATATGAGTATGTTTTTGGTCAAATCCAACTACCCTTCCTGATTTGTTTCTTGAGTCCTATTTGCACTTCCTTCTGAGGATATGAGGTACATATACATGTACATATAACATCAGGTGTAAGTCTCCAAATTTAGTTACACTGTCACCAATGACATTATGTCACATGGACATGCTGACAGATGTGTTCCATTTCCTATCTTTTATTGTTCTTCCATTTTTATCTATACATTTTTGTAAGATAGTCCAGTTTAGTTGAATTTCATACCAACGTTTCTCCAT